GCAGGACTTTGAAAAGGGTTGATAACACCTCTCCCAATTCGAAATTGGTGAATGTGGGTTCGTGCTTCAACTGCATGAAGGCTTGCCAAACTGATTGGATAGCAACCATTGTCCTGTGCTTCCACCTTCTCACTGTTGTTGTTCTCTTTTAGCTTCTGAGTTGCGAGCAAAACCTTCTGTTCCTCAACGTCATGTTGGAATCAGAATTAGGGTCTGCAGACTTCCTATGAGACAGACCGGTTGCTAAGCCCTAGAACTACAACTCGACGTATCGTAGCCAGGTTTAACTAGTTGACTTTGAGTAATTAACTCCTTGTTTGCAAGATTGGAGGTTGTGTCCCTGTAGGGATGATTCTCACTGCTCAGCAACAACAGAAAACACCACTCCAACTGTGTTGTGGTAAAGAATGACAGAAAGGAAAATACCATGATGGTTTTTGGCATCTTTTAAAAACTTTTTTTTTCTGAGCATCAAAACAATGACAGAGGGGTGTATGTGTACGTGTATGTGTGTGCCCCCCTGCAAACCTTTTAGCATTCAGCAAAAGCACCAGAATGAATGATTTAAAACAAGAAGAACAATATCATCAGCCCATTGCAAAAGGCAGCTTAACTTGGAGCAGCTTCCATCCTGCTACGATACCTTGAACACCATCAAACAACATCTGCCTATCCCAGGTCCTCGGGAAGGGCTCGATAGGTGGATAAAAATGCCAAATCCAGTCTAAACATCTGGATGACTGTGCGACCAACCATAAGAATAATGCATTTGCTTCTCCTTACATTTTTGCTATTTGTGGAGGAACTTTTCGAACGGGAAGGAGAAGGTTCTCCACGTTAAGCATTGTGCAGTTGGTATGAAAATAAAATGGTAGAAACATGTGTTATTTTTGAAGGATTCTATATCCTGACAACTTTGTGTAAGAGATTTGAATGAGGTCTGGAGTGGGGAGACCCACATTCAAGTTCCCATTCACTGAAACCAATGTTTTGGGGCATCTTCATCTGACCTCTTTCGTATGAACGTGTGTTGGTTTGTTGTAAGCATAGGAAATACCACCATACTATTCAATTAAGAGGTCACCTTTAGGCTGGACTACTGTAGTACATGCGTCTGTCCTTGAAGATGATGGGCAAACATCAGCTTCTGTTTAATTTCTGACAATTATATCTAGTGGTGTTTCCTACGATTTCAGCGAAGGGATGGGCAACAGCCTCCTTACAGAAATGCTTCATAAGTAACAAAAATGCATAAATTCAGTAACTGTCAAGTCCACGATGTCCAACTCTCAGTTCTGAAGCATTCTCACGCAACCAGACTTGGGT